GAAAATCTCGTCCTTGCTCACCTGCTCCACCCTGCATCCCAGGTAGAGCTCGGTTCCTCTGGCCTTGAACGCCTCTATCGTCTTCTTCTGCAGGGGAGTGTCGAACTGCGGGATCAGGGTCCCTCCTGACTCCACCAGCTTCGTCGAGACGTAGGGCACGAGCTTCGGGTAGATCTTCTTCAGGTCCTCGTTCAGGAAGTCGAACAGCTCTCCTGACATCTCCACACCTGCTGGGCCTCCGCCAACCACCACGAACGTCAGCAGCTCCCGCTTCCTCTCCTCCGACACGTCCTCCAGGCTTGCAGCTTCGCAGTTCTCGATGATGGCCGTCCTCAGGGCCCTTGCATGTTCGATCTCCTTGAGGAAGTGACAGTTCTCCTTGACGCCAGGGACGCCGAACGTGCTTGTCTTCATCCCAACGCTGAGGACAAGGAGGTCATACGGGACCTCCAGGTCACGCTTCTCCGCCACAGCCTTGCAGTGTACAACCTTCCTCTTGGTGTCAACGTCCATGGCCATGGCTTCCTGGTACTCCAAGTTGCTGTTGGCCCACCTCACAGGCTCGATGATCGATCGGTACTCAACGGTCCCCACGGCAGAGGAAGCGAGCATGGGAGTGAAGACGAAGTAGTTCCTCGGGGAGACCACGATCACTTCATGGACAGTGGTGTCAAGGGTCTTCATGAGCGCGTTTGCTCCCCAGCCCGAGCCGACGATCACGACCCTCTTCTTCTTGCCATCCTCGGGCAGGCTGTGCGAGCCGGACAGGGCGTCTCCTACTGTCTCCTGCACGCGATGGAAGGCTATGTCCCAGATCGACTCCTCCTTCAGCAGCGTTCCGAGGCCGATGCGAACATCCTCAGAGCAGGTGACGAGCGGCATGTCAGTCCCTGCGTGCTTGCCGAGTTTCTCAAGATCCTCTTCGGTGTACGTATGCTGCTTCTTCATCATCTGTATGGTCAGAAGTCTGGGAGCCTGACGGCAAGAGGCCCTGCAAGGGCTGCCCCGCAAGCTCTTGATGAGAGGAGGAGTATGGAACGCTGAAGCACAGGCTACGAGAGCAAGAAAGGTAACTGATAGCTGGCTGCAAGGCTTGAACATCCTTTCAACCTTATATTAACGATCGTAGATCAGGTTGTTCTACGGGATTGCACTGAGCCAACACAAGGTGATGGCTGGAATGGACAGGGAAGGAAACAAGGATAAGGCGTGTGCGAGCGAGAGAGATCAGGTTTATAGGAAGGTGGAAAGACAGGCAGGTTGGAGAAAGGATGGGAAGGAGGGAGGGAGGGAGGGAGGGAGGGAGAGAAAGGAGCGGAAAGAAGCGAAGGGGAGGGAGGGAGGGAGGGAGGGAGGGGTGGAGTGGGATGGTGGGAGGCAATGGGGCGACGACGGCAGGAGCACAGCAAACCAGGGGTTTTTAACAATTGGGGCAGCCAGCAGTCGTAAGGGGTGGTGGGGTGGTAGCTTGCAAGGAGTCAGCATTCAAGGGGGTCGTCGATGATGACCAATATGTATGGTGGGGTACTTTGATAGTCAAAAGAGGGTACTTTGCATTGTCATGGTGTCTTCTAGGGGGTGGGGTACCGGCCAACAAATGACTAGTGGTGGGAGGACGTAACTGCGAATCCTTTTTAGTTGTCTTCAACACCAGGGGCTGGTAGCTCATTTTGAGGGGTGGGGTAATAAAGTACGGGTGATATTTCAGTATGAATGACGGGTGTTCCTCCAGTAACATGACGTTGAGGGACCTAAATTGGTTTGCAGTGCTCACGAGTTGGGGGTGGTAGGGGTACTTGCAAATGGTCTCATACAACAACCTCAAATGGTGGGTAGGGGGTCCTCGGATCCAACCATGACATACTGAAGTAGGGGTCCTTTGATGGCAAATCTGATCCTGTGAAGTGGAGTGGGTGTCCGATGTCAACAATCATGTTGCTGACTTGGGGGGTAGGGGGTGGTCCTTCCTACAGACAGCCGGTCATAGTGTCGACGTGGAGAAGGGGGCGGGGGAATCATCAGGAGTGGACCGGGTGGACTCAGTCCTCTGGGGGTGGGTAGAATCATATTAGCACGGGGGGTACGGGTAGTAGGTAAGTTAACCCTTTTTGACAGGTCGTTGACCTCTTGAAAGCCGCTCGGAACGTTTGTAGTAAAGATGACCTGTCAGACTCATTCCTAGCGCGCTAGCACCTCAGCTAAGACTCAAGGTGCTAGGAATGCCGTCAGTGACGGTAGAGGCTCTTCTACCCCCGGCACTGCGGCAGGTTGGCAAGTTTGTCGCAGGACAGTACCACGGTAGTACCGATAGTACCCAAGTTTTACTCAAAGTTGTTAAGTCAAAAATTAGACTCAGTGCTGTGGGCAGTGACTTCTTGTACCATCATTACCGTGTGAGCCTGCGCCCGGGCGCCGCCGCCCGGCCGCGCGCGGCGGCGGGGCCCGGGGCCTGTCAGCGGCCCGGCCGCCTGCCAGCCAGGGCCTGATCCGATGCCACGGTCAGGGTTCACCGGGCACCCGCGGCTGAGCTCTCAGCCGCCGCCGGTCCGGGAGGCTGCCCGGCCCGGCCCGGGCATGACCCGGCGCCCCGGGCTCCAACTTATTGTGGCACTGACACTGCCGTGACCGTCGGACCGTGGCACGCAGCACGCCGTTCACTGGCCGCCCGGTTCAAAACACGATACTATCGGATACGAGGCGGGAGTCCGCCTCCGACCAAAAGTTGGGACAGCAACATACATTTGGAGGCCGTCTTAGACAGGTCAGGTCTCAGAAGGCAGCGACTTTCAGGGAGCATGGGACTCATCTGAGGGAGGGAGGGGAGGGAGGGAGGAGATTGATGAAGGGTTGGGGGGTGAGATCGGGAGGATAGGACAAGGAAGCCATTCACTGACATCGATCTAGTTTCCCCAGACCTCAGAGCATGATTCAGGCGTGATCAAGAGTCTCAAGGCCCCAGCACACATGGTCTGATCAGCCTGAAGTGCACTGGGGGAGAGGAGATCATGGGATTGTTGACAGCTCGTCATGCTGTCCTCGTCTTTACCCTGGAGTGCTTGCGTACTGCCTACCTGAACCCTTTGAACAGCCTGTCCTTGCAACCTGATCATATCCATTTGTGCACGCGTCGTCATGGTTGGAGCCTCCGTTTACGGGGAGGGGCCAAGAACTACAAGCATCGGGCGGACGACCCGGACTTCGTAGCGACTGCTCCGATATTGGACTTGTTGACAGATGGGGATTACTCAAAGAAGATGGAGTTTGCCAAGAAGAACATCAAGAAGATCATGGAGACTCCTGTTGAATTCTGCATCGACCCTTCGTACTTGGATGGGACTAGCTCCCACTTCACCTGCTCGATCAAAGGGAAGCGGGGGAAGAAGGATAATAAGAGTTTGAAATATGTGCCGGAAGAGGAGGAGGAGGAGGAGGAGGAGGAGGAGGAGGAGGAGGAGGGAGGGGAGGACGGCAAGGGAAGGGAAGAGAAGGAGCAAAACTCAGACGAATTCGATGGCTTCGGCGTTCTGAAGAAGATTGAAATGACAGAATTCCGCAATGTCACATACGCTATCCTTGATAACAAATATGAAGACGTTGTGAGTTGTGATTTTCATCCTTCTTGCTGCCTGGCTGATTTAAAGATGTCTCCCCTTGAACTCGCACATCCCCTCGATCTCACTTCTTGACGCACTTGTTTCCAGATGGAAAAGCTGCAGGCAATGTTGGCCAAGGACCAGCACAACGAGGACATTGTCAACAACATGGCGATGGCGATCACTTTGCATACCAACAATACCAGTGAAGCTGAACACATGCTCGAGGTCAATTGAGGAGCATACATAATGAGTATAAAGTCTTGATACTGCTCCCTTCAGGACTTCATTCAAAAACATCCCAACGTCAGCGGCCGAGTAGTCGGAAATCTAGCGGTAAGCATGTTTGGAGATCACCTGCTTGTTCACCTTGTGTTATGATGATTCGTTCATCCTCCGATTTGCACGTCTTGTTCATCATTTTTCATGCTTGCTTCTTTCCTTACCAGTTGCTTGGTTGTGTTTGTCACAGAATTTCAGATCGCAGCGAATGATTATCCTCGTTGTCCTGCTGCTGCTGCTGCTGCTGCTGCTGCTGCTTCTGCTCCCTGCTCCCTACTCCCTGCTCTCCTCTGCTTGCTGCTTCTCTTTCTTTCTCAATATCATCTTTACTTTGTTCATATGTCTGCGCACTTTACCTTCTTTGCTCTCGGTGACGATGAGTTATGGTCTTTTGTTTCTGTATGATTCTCTCCGATTTCGTTCGCTTTGTGTGGTTTTGTAACCTTTGAGTGCAATAGACTATCATATTTCAAAGTTTGAACGACGACACAGCAAGAGCAGACAAGGCGGAGAAATATTTCCAGATGGTTTGAAACGTTTCTTTCAACCCAGTCATGCTGACAGTCACTTGCCAGGCCCTCGAACGAGACGGTCTCGACGACCCTGCAGTGAACAACTACGCCATGTTCCTCATCACAATCCGCGAGAACTACACAAGTTGTCGACACATGTGTGCTTGCGCCTTTCAAGGTTTGTGAAGCAGCGATGGCAGGAGCGGAAGAGTTGCTGGTGGCAAGACTGGAACAGAACTCAGAGAGCGTTTCAGTGCTAGGCAACTACATCTATCTCCTTATCCATCACTTTCCTCACAGGAGGTGAACATGCGAAAGCTTCTCATGGCTCAATAATCCTCTATACCCTCACTTCTTCGCTCCTCTCCCTCGTACGCCCCCTGCCTCCTCCCGCCTCCCTACCTCTCCATCCCTCTCCATCCCTCTCCGTCCCTCTCCCTTCCTCGTCCTCCCCTCCCTCCTTTCTCCCTGTTCCTCCTTCCCCCATGTCCTTCCCTGCCACTCCCTCTCTCCACCATCACCTCGACTCTTGTGCGAACGTGGTCGTGACACCCTTCTTCTGTCGGGCAGGTACATCGAGAACAGGAAGGAAATCCAAGGACCTCATTACAATCTCACAGGACTGCAGCTGGTGGCGATCCTCCTCCCCCCAACCCCTCCTCCTCCTCCTCTTCTTCCTCCTCCTCCTGCCCTCCCTCTTCTCTCCACTTCTACCTCCTTCACTCCCGCTCCTCCTCCCCTCCTCCTTGACTCCTCTCATCTCTTCCCCTCATCGTCCGCAATCTCTCCTCTCCTCTCCTCTCCTCTCCTCTCCTCTCCTCTCCTCTCCTCTCCTGTCCTCTCCTCTCCTCTCCTCTCCTCTCCTCTCCTCTCCTCTCCTCTCCCCCTCCTCTTCTCTTCTCTGAAACACTCTCAGGCCCATGCTCTGACCATGAAAGCCTTGAGGACGGACAAATCTCATCCCTGGGTAAAGTTGCTTCCTCTCTCTCTCCCTCTTCCTCTCCCTCTTCCTCTTCCTCTTCCTCTTCCTCTTCCTCTTCCTCTTCCTCTTCCTCTTCCTCTTCCTCTTCCTCTTCCTCTTCCTCTTCCTTCTTGCATTGGAACATGGCCTGCAGGTGAAACAATGTGCACCTAAAATCCTCAGCCCGGAACATCCTTGCTATCAAGCATATTGGTGAGTTTCAAACATGACAAGTGATATGGGATATGGCGAGGTGTGGAGATGGAGTTGAGGAGGTATTCGAGCGATTACAGAGGCTTCATGACATGTTGTGAAAACAAACATGAAAGTTTGCGTTCAAGTTAAGAAGAGAAATGTGGAATTCATGTCTGATGATGAATTCCCCTTAGATATCCAAATTTTGATGTGAAGGTGTGATTCCGATCAAATGATATACATACTTCGTTGTTTTGAGAATTCACAAAACTCTTCGTAACGATTCTTTACAGTGAAAGGTTCAAAATCTTCCGTCCTTGTGAAATCACAGTGTCAAGAGGTAGCGATGAAGAGACGAAAATTCTTTACATACATGTCATGGAGAGGATGGTGGTGATGGCGGTGGTGATGGCGGTGGTGATGGCGGTGATGGCGAAAATGGTGATGGTAGTAATATTTATGATGGTGGTGCTTTTATTGTTGTTGATGATGATGATGATGACGATGGTGAAGACGACAACAACTACCACTACTACTATTACTACAGTGGTGGTGGTGTTGATGATTGTGGGACCTGCTGAACATGTTGAAAAGAGGCTTTCTCCTCCTCATTCCAGCCTCTGCAATGATGCTGGCTGTGACTCGATTGTTTCCCAGCTCGGGGATATCATTTCAAACCGTCGCATCCGGGAAGGGCGCATTTGTTGAACAAGACCTTCGTAGAGCAGATGAAACTCCATCATCTCTACGATTTTGCAGATCACGTCTATTCGGAGCGACAGTACAAGACAAACGAGTGAGATGGTATACGAGGAAAGGTCAGGAATGAGGGAGAGATGGAGGGGAGGAACAGGAGGAGGAGGTCGAGGAGGAGATGAGGAGGTCGAGTTTACTTTTGATACCTATCGTCTACATTGCATCCTTGTCAAACATGAGCACAAGTCCGAAAACTCTTTCACGTCTCTTTGTTTTCTTTCCTTCTTCCTTTCCAGCTCAGTCACAATCATTCTCCACAGACTTCACTTGTGGATATCACTCCCTCCTCCTCATCCATCGTTTCCACCTGGTCCAGCTCGTCCTTCTTCCCCACTCCGTTGCCCTCCTCCTCCTCCTCCTCCTCCTCCTCGTTGTCCTCCTTTGTCCTGTAGTCTTTCCTTCTATGCCCTTATCACGTTTCCTGATACCACCTTCTACAGTGTGAACAGTCCTCCAACACTCCCTCCCACCCTCCTCCTCATCTTCACCTCCTCCTCCTCCTCCTCCTCCTCCTCCTCTTCCCCCTTGTCCCTCCTGCCTTTCCTACTTCCCCTCCTCCCCCTGCCTAGCTTTCGTTCTCCTCCTCCTCTTCCTCCTTCTCCTGATGCTGCAGCAGCGCCAACCTCATCAGCGCATGCGTGCTCCGGCACGCCCGGAGACCAACCTTCATCGCTCTTGCCACCTCCTCCTGCTCCCACTGCCCCACTTGCACCAGCTGAGTCACTTCCCGCCTGTTGGGCATGTAAGACAAGGAAAGGCTGCCGTCGTGCTCAGTCAGCCCTGCCCCTGGTTCCAGCATGAAGCCTTCCTTCCTCCTCAGGGCAAGGGAGCTGGACGCGACGAGGTCGTACATCTCTACCCCAGCATGCGCCAGCGCCAACGATGCACAGACGATGCAGGGAGAGAGCAAGTCGCCGTCTGCTTCCACCACAGATACGTGAACTTCGATCACTGACTTGGGGTACTTGAGCAGGTTGATTGCGCTCTGCAAAGCTGGGAGGATCCCTAGCTCGGCCGCTCGCTCCTCCTCCTCCCTCCTCTCCTCCCTCCTCTCCCCGTCCGACCCGGAGAATGCTGAGATGGTAACGAAGCAGCTTATCCTGCCATGCTCGGAGAATAGCGATGACCATGTGTCTGTCTTGGGGCCATGGACAGTGCAAACCACCTTCGTCCTCCCGCTCTCCACGTAGGCCGACCCTGAGGCCCTGTCTACCACATCCACCGACATGTGCTTCCTTCGAAGAGTGTTGAGTACAGGAAAATCCTTTTCCCCTCCTTCCTCCCCAGCCTTCTTCTTTTTCTTCGTCGTCGTCGCAGTTCCTTTCTCCTCCTCCATGCTGGGCCGTTTCAGCCTGACAAATTCGAGCTTTCGGCAACCTGTTGGAAGGATGCCGTGTCAAGACTAGGCATGTTAACCGGGATAACCTCCTCTGCAGTGCTCTCCCATTATCTCTTCTCCTCTTCTCTCCGCTCCGCTCCTCCCCTTCCCTCCAATCTTCACATCACCTCCACCACCTCTTCCTCCCTCTCCTTCCTCTCCTCCCTCCCCTCCTCCCTCCCCTCTTCTTCCTCCCCTCTCTCTTCTTCCTCCCCTATCATTCCTCTGTCCCATCTCTTCCTTCCTTTCCTTCCCTCTCCTCTCCATCCTCTTCACTTGCTGCTTCTGTTCCCTTCCATACCTGGCGGTACTGCTGCCATTGTTGTGAATGGGTGGGGGTAGGGTCCACCTGAGTGGTAACGGACCCTTACTTCATCTCTAAAAAGTACCGGTAGAGGTAATTAAGTCACGGGTACTTGTTCATTAGGAAATCGCACGTGCGGTGCATAGTGGACGAAGCGGAAAAGGGAAGAGAGGAGAGGAAAGGAGAAGGAGAGGAGAAGAGGAAAGGAGAAGACGAAAGGAGAAGAGGAAAGGAGAAGAGGAAAGGAGCAGAAGAGAAGAGGAGAGGAGGAGAGGAGAGGAGAGGAGAGGAAAACGAGGACCAGGGACTAAGCAAATCAGCGGGTCCCTCACAAGGTGTTTGGGATCCTGCTCTGAAGGACATTAGTGGGCAGTTCTCCTTGCTGTGTTGGTCTTGCGAACCCCAGGAAGGCCTCCAAGCAACAGCCGTAGCGTTCGGTCAGATTGTCAGTAATGGTCGTTACAACGAACGCACAGCTACAACAGAAGTTGGACTCCCTCGTAAAGATCATGGAGACAGGGGACATCGAAAAGTTCGTTCGTGCCTTCGTTCCCCTGGATCTGTCCGAGGAAGAGATCTCGGATTATCTGTCAAGATTGAGAGAGGATCAATCTGAATGGGAGAACATCAAGGTCGAGATCAAGACGATTGCAGACGGAGACTCCGTCACCAAGATAGAAGGAGATCAGGTCAAATCGGCAGTATTCTTCTTTCAACATCCTTCTTTCGACCAGGTTGACAGAGAAGTCGAGTTTGTCTTCGAAGACAGCGAATGGCGAGCCCAGGGATAGATGAATAACTCTCAGGCGCAAGGAGCCAGTTCAGGCGCAAGGGACCACTGGCTCTATTGCTGTGCTTGCCTTGTTCAGAACTATTATGTACAGTCGTTACCAGTCATATTTTCTTTCACCTTGTCCCTACAAGGGGAGGTATTTTTCGAGTTTTATCTTTGTTTTGAGTCATTACTATACAACAGAAAGCTTACAGCATGCGCTATCCACATTTCTCACTGGCTCGTTACCAGCTCCTCGCTCTCGCTCCACTCCTCCTCCTCCTGTCTCATCATCACCGTCATCGAGCTTTATATCCCACTCCCTCTTCACCTTTGAGCAGGACATTCCTCCAAGCATTCTGCAGTAGAAGGAATTTTCGGTCTGCAACATAATGAGCAGAATGTACACAGCAAGGCTCTTCTCGCACTTGCATGCATCATATCTCTTCTCAAACCATCAACCAACAAGCAAACATGTCACTCCACCAATTTTTCACCATTATGGCAATGCTAGCACGACATAAGGAGCAATCGTGATGCAAGATAGACATCGCAGTGGAGACAAAAGCTCGAAATGACAATCACGTTCCACGCTCGTAAACTTCAACTCACGTCGATCTCGACACGAGCTGGGAGCCGCCGCCATTTCATGCAAGAGTCGCATCTGACCCATGTCTGCACTCGCCAAGTCAAGATCGTCCGCCAAGTCTGTGACAAGGGAGGTAGCAGAGCGAAGGAGAATCGTTACCTGGTTCTCCTGCGACTCCAGCACACTTTTGCGATCTCGTTTCTTGAGCTTCTTTCTCTTAGGCGCCGGCTTGTGCTCCAGCATGTTGGTTTTCAGCTCATTGCGGAATCTCTTCAAGTCTTTCATGCACCTGCAAAAGCAACACGTCACTGTCTTACCAACAAGTTCCGCATTAAAGGAGGAGTGTGATCTGGAGAAGGGGGCAGGAAGAGGACGAGTACGACGAGCAGTAGGAGCAGAACAACGACGATGACGAAGGAGGAAGGGAGGGACCAAATTCACTTACGCATCTTGAGGCAGACTTATGTAGTTTTTTGCAAAGTAAGAGTGAAACCAAGGGCGGTACTGCACAAAAGAGGATTGATTCAGGAAAAACATCTCAAGAGATTGTGAACACAACAGACCATGAACATAGTGTTCTTTTTCTTCTTGCTCTTCTTCACAATGCAGTAAACTGACTTCATCTTTGTGAAATCCATCCTGCGAGCGGGAGAAAGTACTTCAGAAGCACGCGCACGCCCCATGGGAAGCGACAAGACAAACCTGCTTTCATGCTTCGACGAACACTTCCAGTTGAGCTTCCTTGCCTTCTCGTCATTGTGAGGGGCAAGATCAGACGAAGAGTCGGCTGTGCACTCCGAGTCTTCAACGTTGTCTACCTCCATCGGGCACTTTGCAAGTTGCACTTCCCAGGCAGCTGGGGGAACATCGTAGATGGAGTGAGAAAGAACAGCAGGAGGAACTCTTCTCTTCTCCTCAACAAACTTTTGTTGAGCACCATCGTTCCCTGCCATAACTTCTGATCCTGCATGGCTTCCAGGCGGGCTCGCTTGATTCGCGACGATCTCGTCTTCGTTCCCGTCCAGTATTTTCTTCCACTGGCACTCCTTCTCGTGCCTGCTGAACGCAGGAGACCAGTATGTCTCGTATCCGCAGTAGTTGCAGAAGAAGTTCTTCCTCCTCGGATCGATCCCAAGGTCAAGATCGATGGCGACAGACATGCTCGACCAAACCTCCTTGCCCGACACAACGCTGGTACGCTTACACGAAGTTGGCCGTACTTTTGGTCTCTTAGTACGAAACTCGCCAAAGGATCGGTTCAAAAGACTCAGATCAAGTAAAGCTTGGTGATCGAAGTGCTTGCTAACCACTATTAGAGTATGCAGTGCAGGACAGTCCTCCTAGTCAAACGTTGGACCCTCAAACACTCGAGAAAGCAAAGTGCAAGCTATGAGAGAAGGAGAGGAGAACGAAGGTGAGATTAGTGAAGATAGTACGATGGGATCAGAAAGGATAGTCTAACTCAGCATGAAATGCGGCAGAATCCGCCGTCTCTTGCCAAGTTCATTGGCAGTATCTCCATACTTGTTCGGCTTTCTTAGATCAAAGTGGGTGGGTGGGGTACTTGTTTTGTTAGGGTGGTCCACAATGAAGAGGGTGGGCTCCCCGTCGGTGGGTTCAAAAGTTCTCAAAATGACCCCTAATTTCTAATGAAAAATGTCATATTTTGTGGGGGTGGGGTAATTTGATGACATGGTGGGGTACATTAAATGTACCCTATGAATGGGTAGGTTATCTGATTATGGTAGGTAGGGTAGTGTTGTTATTCGGGGTTCTCACGGATTCAACGAGGGTGGGTACAGTCAGTTGGGAAACGATAGGGTAGGGTGATAGTACCCACCGTACACTGAGAGAATTTATGCAGGAAAAAATGGGGTAGTCAACAAAGTATGTTTTCTGTTTGCTTCAGGATTCATAGACGAGGGGTGGGTTCTTTTGGGGGTGCTAGAAACTGGAGCCGAGGTAAAGAGTGTGGGGGGTAGTGATCACGAAGGGGGTACTCGCGAACATGGGTTGGTGCTGAGTTGTTGAGGAAAACTTTATATGGTGGGGTAGTATGGATACCCCAAATTTAGTTGAGAAATTAACGGGTATATGAAATATTCCTAGGGGTACTGTGTCAGATGTGTTTCAATATGCACGGGTAGGGAAATCAGGAACATTGTTTTTTATGGGTGGGGTCACAATCATATTTACCGGCAATTATAGGTAGGGTAGTTTTTGCCTAGGTGGGTGGGTGCAAGGTGTACTGATAGGGGGGTAGGTGGATGGGGTAAAGAAAGACTTTTGGGGTTTGCACACAGCACCGGGTGGTGGTCAAAGTGTTAATGATGGGTGGGGTAGGGGTACATGAAAGTGCTGGGATGATCCTTTGAGTAGGGTGGGTAGTGATGAAAAAATGTAGGGATAAATGCTTATGATAGGAAATCCAGGGTAGTGGTAGTGATGTATCCCGTACTTTAGCGAGAAAATCAAAGGGTACTTGTACTGAAGGGGTGGCACATGCGGGGTGGGGTAGGGTGCATTTAGGACTAGGGTGGATAAAAAAGGGGCTGGGTTGCGGGTGTATCTCTGTAGGCACCAGGAGCTAAGGAGACAGGGGTAGGGTACGAGAGGCCCATTTGGGGTAGGGGTGGGGTCAGAGGATGAGTAAACTTTTTCTGAAAGTTTTGAGACTTCTAGCATGATCAAAGTTTATGAAGTTCGTTCGAGGACCTCATCCCCGCTCATACACAGGTCCAGATTTGTTGGGAATGCTGAGCAAAAGCCGCGAAGAGGGAGGGGACTTGGCGATGGGAGGTGGCGATGGAGGAGGAGGAGAAGGAGGATGTAGATGAGATCAAGTGAGAGAAGGTAGAGTTGAGATGAAAGGCATGTGGCCGGATGAGATGGAGGATCAAACGTCACGTTTGATATGGGGGGGTGACGTGAGGAATGTGGTAAAGGATGTATGGTGATTTGTAGATTGTTGGAGAGGCTATTTTTGGTGTTCTGTAGCTTCTTTGGGGTGGAGAAAGATGCTCAGGGGACTCATGTCGTTGTTGGCTCTCAAATCGTTGTCAAGACATTTCTTAGCCTGATCTGAGTTACGACTAGGGTTGCTGTAGCAGTCTTTTCGTGAAGTAGCTATCCCTACCCCTTGCAAGGGGAGGCGACTCAGCACGTAGATTCGAGTTGTGCTGAGATGTTAGCGTCCTCTCTGACCTGACGTCCCCCTCTCTGACCTGACATCCCAGGTTGCGATGGCGAGCTCAGAGGAGGAGATCGCCGGCATCGGGGCGCTGTTGAAGCCCAATAGATACTCTATCCTCAAGTTCGTGGACATCCATCCTGGAGGGGCGGCGGCGGCAACGGGGCAGATCTTCGAGGACGACAGGCTTGTGTCGGTAGACGGGGTGGTCGTCAAGGGCCTCACTGCGGAGGAAGTCGCGCCCATGGTGAGGGGGCCCGTCGGCTCCACGGTAGAGCTCGAGATCTTACGACCCGGGGCGGCCAAGACGACGATGGTGAAGGTGACAAGGCAGAAGATCCAGCAAGCAGGACCAGCAGCCAAGCAGGAGGCGCCGAGAGAGTCGAAGAGCATCACCGGCTTCCATGTCCGTGAGACCCTCCGCCATGGCGCCGACATGCTTGCGAAGCAGCTGGAAAAGCAAGGTATCGGGAAGCGCAACCAGTCCCCTGTGGCGAATGTCTCCAACAAGGAGGAGTTCGAGACGGGCTCGGACGTGAACATCAGCGCTCCCTTCAACTTCCAGCACAAGTACCATGTGCAAGTCGACCCCTCCTCCTCGACAGGTTTCACTGGCCTTCCTCCTGGGTATGTTCGGGTGCAGGCACCATGAAGCCGCTGACCTGTCGTGCACAACAGCTGGGACGGATTGCTTCAACAGGCAAACATCACGAAGAAAGAAGCTCTAGAGCACGGAGACGCGATCCTCGACATCCTGCGGTTCCAGCAGGAGCAGGGCTGCGAGCCGCAGCTGCCTACTGCCCAGCAAGCAAGCATGGAGGCGAAAATGGCTGTGCAATTTTTGAACGAGGTGAGCGTTGAGGGAATGAATGTGTTTGTGAGTCCTTCCATGATAATCTTCATTTACTTCCTTTCTTCATCAACAAACTGTGATGTGCTCTCTTACCTTTCTTGCTGCAACACGAGAGTCTGCTAACAATCTTGTACCTGCTGTCCCACGATTGCGTTGCTGCAACTTCTCCACTGATCGCCTTCCTGCAGAATCCCGCAGATCACTACAAGATGCCTCCGAAGAGCATCGGGCAAGGAGGAATGGGAACAATTTATCGTGGGACCAAGGATGGAAAGGTAAAGCCCTTTCGATCACAGTTCATCTGAGTCTGAGAACATTTGTATAGGATTATGCGATCAAGAAGCTTGCTCTGTCCAAGCAAACCGATCTTCCAGCACTCCAGAATGAGATTGCAATGATGAAGACCAGCGGTATGATTTACCGCTCCTCTTTTCGTTGCATCCCTCAATTCGCTTCTGCTGCTCCATCCTCGTTGTCCTTATCCCCGAACCCCTTTCTCCGCCGTCCTCGTCCTCGTCCTCGTCCTCGTTCTCGTCCTCGTCCTCGTCCTTCGCCTCCTTCCCCATGCTCTCGACCTCTTAACACTCTCCTCCTCGTCATCCTTCTCCTGCATATTCTTGCCGCCGCCCTCGCGCTCTTGGCCCTCCTTTCCTTTCTTGAAACGTTCTGCAGCTCACCCCAACGTGGTCGAGTACTTCGAGTCGTACATGTTCGATCGCTGCCTGTGGGTCGTCATGGAGCTGATGGACGGAGGGTCTCTGACCAACCTCATCCAAGTCAAGCCTGCTGCTCTCCTGCGCTTGTGTTGACGATCTTGCAGACGTACCAGAAGAAGCGCAAGGAGTTCACGGAGGAGGAGATGGCTGGTTTCATGAAGGCTTCCATCGACGCCATCGCGTTCCTCCACGGTCAAGGCAGGATCCACAGAGACATCAAGTCGGACAACGTGAGTAGCGTCTTGTTCCGTCCCCCTCCCTCCCTCTGTCTCCTCGCTCGCCCTGACGCTGGCCCTCGCCCTCGTCCCTGCAGGTTCTTATCAACTCTCGGGGAGAAGTCAAGATCGCAGACTTTGGCTTCTGCGTGCAGCTCACACAGGAGAAGGACATGCGGCAGTCGATGGTCGGGACGCCTTACTGGATGGCTCCCGAGCTGGTGCCACCCCCAGCAGCTCCCCAGCTGTTGTGCTGACCCCATCTGGCAGGTTCGCGGGCAGACCTATGACCAGAAGGTGGACGTGTGGTCTCTCGGCATCATGCTGATAGAGATGGCGGAGAGCGAACCGCCCTACCTTCGAGAGCAGGTGAGGAGGGGAGGAGGAGGAAGAAGAAAGAGAACCAGAGGAGAGGGAGCAGGTGGGAATGAGGAACGGAAGTGGTGGTAGCAGAGGAGAGTAGTGAAGGATGAGGATGAAAAAGAGCCGGAGGAGTAGGAATAGGAGGTGGTGGTGTTGGAGCAGGAGGAAGTGGTGGTGGTGGTGGTAGTGGTAGTTGTTGGGGAGACTCTGACGGTCTGCGCAGCCTCTTCGAGCTCTGTACCTCATCGCTACCAAGGGGGAGCCGAAGCTGAAGCAGGAGAGCAAGTACCGCGGAACTTTCATGGACTTCTACCACAAGTGCCTGAACCCGCTGCCTGCGAAGCGAGCGACGGCCGCGGAACTTCAGAATCATCCTTTCCTGGCTTGTGCTTCGTCCCCTGAACACCTGGCCGAGATCATCAACAGCAACAAGAAGTAGAGCTAAGACAACAGGAGGATGGGGGAAGCCAGCAAGAGCTTGTGATGGTAGAATAAGGTAGAACACATAGATGCTCCTGTCGCAGTCGTTGTTTCTTGTTTGCGACTGGGTGAATTTTTGGTTGCTCAGACATTGACTGTAGTGAACGTCCAGCTGTACATGAAGAGACTTTGCTCTGCTGAATAAGTGGTACACTGTAAGAGAGGACGTTGAGTTGTCACATCTGGTGAACTCAAATGCATTGAGCGGATCAGTCAGCAAGTCGACAGCCAAGAGACAACACTGCGGCCCTTTCCCTTAGCCCTTCACTTCAGAGCTCGGTCTCACTTTGCCCAAACCTACTCACATGCTGAATCCCTTCCCTCCCGCTCTAGTCTACCGCCCAACCCTGCATCTTCGAATCGACACTTGCTGCGAGCGAAAGCCGGAAGAAGAGGAATGAACTTCACTTGTTGTTCGTGCAAGGATGATGTTATACGGGACGACGAGCTCCCAACTTCAGTCGCTAATGTTTCTCCACTTGTATCATTGAAATACCCGAAAGCAGAATCCCTACGGAGAGATGGAAAAGTCGTATCTGACTGTGCTGGTCTCAACATTGCGAGGGCTAATGAAGCATTCGAAAACTCTGCTCGGCGTGTATTGTAGAGGAATGTTTGCTATTCGAGAAAAGACTGGTGCGTCCCTTCTGTAATGAATGTTTAAACATTGTCGAGCAAGGATGGTTAAAAGTAACCTTCATATCCTTCTTTAAACCCCCTCCTCCTCTAACCCCCTTCTCATGTACCACCTGATCCACTCCTCCTCCAGCCGCTCCCACTCCTCTGCCTCATCCTCCTCAACCTCTTGCCACTCTTCTTCCTCTTCTCGTCCCTTCAACGGCTCCTCCTCGGGGCTAAGTGGCGACGGTGAAGATTCGATGAAGGGGGCGGCGGCACTGATGGAGACGGGCTCACTCTCCCTCCTCCTCGCGTACGGCCATCGCCCTAGCCCCAGTGCCCGGCAAGCGTTCTTGAGCGCCGACAGCGAGATCCCCTGCGCTCGAACGTCAATCCTCATGCACTAGCGCATGGATCGAGAATGGGGATTACAGGGAGGGAGCAAAAGTGGAGGTCGCTTACCAGGTGACGAGCAGCTTGGGCCTGTGAGAGGTGGGTGAGGGAGCGGAAGAGGTCGAGGGTGAGTCTGCGGTAGAGGGGGCAGGCTCCGGCAGGGGACGATGCGTGAGCAGGTTTCTTCCTGGGGTAGACGATGCGGATGGACTGGACGGAGGGTGTAGGGCAAGGCGAGGATGGGGCAGGAAGAAGAGGAGAGAGGGAGGAGGAGGGAGGGAGGGAATGGATGGGAGGAGGATCGGAACGATGCATGGCAAGAACACGTGCTCTACCTTGCCTCGCCTGCTGTTGCCCTTGGAGATAACCAAAGGCTTCGGAAAGATCCGGTGATGACTTTTACCAGCGAAATCATGGGGGTGGGGGTGGGGTATTCTGTTTTTTGTACCGGTCACCGAGAGCAGAATCGTTTCTCAGATAATCGGTGAGGGGTACCGGGAAGAAATTTTCAACATGGTGGGGTGGTTTGAACAGGATACATACAGCGGCTGTAAAAGAGATTCGGGGGCTCTCGAAGATACATTTTGCGCCCTCTCGTGCAACTAGAAGTCTCAAAGTCCGTGACCTGGTGCGTGACTGTCAGCAAACCCAAACAACAAGCATTTAGACACATCACTGTCATGATCAATTATGCGCATGGATGACTGAAGGCTCGTCCATCCATAGCTTTCGTCCATGAAACGATCTGACTGATGACTCAAAGTAACAATCCAGTGTGACAAACAACTACTCGTGTTATAACGACGAATTGAATGAAATCATGGATACTTGCTCTATCGGAGCTCGGGACCTCGAAGATGTCTTGTGCTTGTTCAGTGCTCGACTCCCTGCCCTCGGCTTCAAGGCGGGGCTGTCTTGCCTGCTTGCGACTGGTTGGCTGGCACAGACCCGATGGCGCCCAGTGCTTTACAGAGAGCTGTCGGAGCATCGGAGTCTCCGAGATCTACAAGGGGGCTCAGATTCCGCCAGGTGCAAAAGATCGGAGCACCGAACCGTGACCCGAAACGAAACGATTTGGAAATTTCCTGAACCTGTTCCACTGGGGTACTGAGGAGGGGACTTGAGAGCCCTCCCCCGTCCTGCAGCATCCCCGTACAGTTTCCCGTACAGCTCCATCCTCATAAACCATTCGCATCGTATACCCGAGGTCGCATCGTATACCCCCCCCCTCCCTCTCTCCTCCCTCCCTCCTATACACCTCCATGTGACGATCGAGCGCAGGGGATCTCGCTGTCGGCGCTCAAGAACGCTTGCCGGGCCCTGGGGCTAGGGCGATGGCCGTACGCGAGGAGGAGGAGGGAGACCGAGCCCCTCGCTGGCAGTCCCTCTACCTACCTGCCTCAAGCTTCTGCACCTTTTGCTACGAATGGAATGGCTGGTGAAAGGGAATGGGAGAGGCTGGACAAGGAATGGATGGAGTGGTACACGGGGATGGGGCTAGAGGAGGAGGGCGTGTAGAAACAGCAGTGCAGTCTTTTGAAATTCAATAAAATCATTTCTGTGTCAGAATATCTCCTTTCTGTCCAAACCAAAAATGCACACACACACACACACATACACACACGCAGCAGACATTACAGACATAGCGCGGGTCTTCTTCGATTAATCCTCAATATCAGGTCTATTCAATCTGACAGAGAGTTCTTGCGATATGTAGAGAATGCCCTTGTTTTATTAAGTTCGCAGACCTGCAGATCTCAAGGCTAGTCTGTAACGTATGAGACCAACGTTTCCTCATGCTTACTGAGATTGTGCTTTTATGTACTGTCTGTGAGCAATTGAGCACGGAACAACGCAAGATCAATCATCATTCTTCAATGCTTTATCCTCTCCGTCTCATTCATTTCAGACCGTCTTTCACGAGAACAACTCAGCCGATGCCCTGCAATGCTCTCCGGTAACATCATCGGATACTATATTGTTTGTCAGTTCGTCTATTTGCGCTTAACTTTGGATTCTGTCACAGCGAGTCTGGCTCTGCAAAGAAACTTCTCGCCAATAACCCGTGCCCTAAACTCCCTCCTCTTCCAGCCCCATCCTCATGTACCACTCGATCCAGTCTTCCTCTACCCCTTCCCAGTCCCTTGGTTCCGTCATGTCTTGGATCGTGCTCTCCTCGCCATTCGTATCGTTGCAACCAACCGCGTCGAGTGAGCCTTCGAAGTCGCTCTCCAGTGGCAGCTGTTCGAGACCATCCTGGCTAGGAGGAAAGTACGGAGGTGATTGGCTGACAGCGACGGGCTCGGTCTCACTCCTCCTCCTCGCGTACGGCCATCGCCCTAGCCCCAGTGCCCGGCAAGCGTTCTTGAGCGCCGACAGCGAGATCCCCTGCGCTCGATCGTCACATCCTCTCGCGGAGGGCGCAGGGAGAGGGGAGGGAGAGGAGGAGAGGAGGAGAGGAGGAGAGGAGGAGGAGGCACGGTCACGTACCAGGTGACGGGCAGCGTGAGCTTGGGAGAGGTGGGTGAGGGAGCGGAGGAGGTCGAGGGTCAGCCGCTGGTAGAGAGGAGTTGTATTTTCGTTTGAGGAGGCAGGGAGGCTTCTTCTTCTGGGGTATACGATACGGACTTCCTGGGAGGGAGGAGAGGTTGAGGAGTTGAAAGTGAGGGGCAGGGAGGGTGATGAAAGCGCAGAAGATCGAGGTTGTGGTAAAGTAAGCAGTGTACAACTATCCTGTTGATCTATTGCGCTGATCATGGGGGGCAGAAGGAAGCAGGAGGGGGGGGGATCAGGGGAGGGATCCGGTCGGGATGGTTGTGGAGGGGAGGTACGTTTATAGCAGTGTGGATGTCGCCGTGCGCAGGGCTTGATCTACGGATGCAGGGAGGGGAGAGCCGTGCGCGTTACACGCTCTTAAAAAGACTTCTCTGGAAGCCCCCGTGGGGTAGGGTGACACAACGGTAGATCAGGGGGGTGGTAGGGTGGTCCAGGTTTGACTTACAGACTGTTTTTTTACTCAATTTTCAAATCCGGTACCGAAAAGTTTTACTCATTTTCATTCACGCAGCAGTCGCAAATAGGGGTCGGGAAGAGATCTGCTAGAAGGAGGGGGTGGGGGTATGCACAGGGACGTGACAGTTATTTCGTCATCATGTTTTTAAACTCCTTGAGTGATGACCCGTGCACACATGCACAGGTTACTTCAGCTGCATCTCCTCGCCCCTCCGCTCCAACCCCTCATGCTGTACTCCCTGTCGCTCATTCTCCTCGTCCACGACAATCTCAAGTCGTCTGCATTGTTTACTTAAGGAAGAAGATCCTTTCCCCTGCCGCTCTACATGGTTCCACTCCCTCCTACCATCGGCTGACTCTCGACGTCCTCCGCGCTCTCACCCACCTCCAACAAGTAAAAGCTGCTCGACATCTGGTGAGCAAACGGGAATTGTTTACTGAGATGCTGAAGCACGAGTGCAGGAAATCTCTCTATCAGCTCTCAGGAACGCTTGCCGGTGAGTGGGAGGGGCTGGAGGAGGAGTGGGTGAGATGGTACTTGAGAATGGGGCTACATGAGGAGGGCGTGTGAGGTCAAAGCTATGTTGTCCCTTGCTCCTGTAACAAAGCATGGTCGTAGTGAAAAGTCTGGTTTTGTGGTATTGCGTAAGAGTGACACAGAGGTAAAGAAAGGATAGTCAATCAATCACCCTAGAATAGTGGACAGCATAGAGCAAGCTCTACTGACTCCATCCTGCCATTCCGCTGAAACTGCGGGACGGGAAGATCGCTGAGACTGCGGGACGGGAAGATCGCCCTGGGCTGGGTGGAGGCATGAAAGGGTCGCAGACTACATGCTCAGGGTGCACGGCAGAAGGAAAGAGGAAAAGAAGTCCGACTGCTGTGAGGAGAAAGAGTGTGGGAGAGAGAAGATGAGCTTGAGGAAAGGTTTCGATTGAAAGCAATATCGATAGTTTTATCAGCCCTCTGCAAATCAACTTTTTGTTCCTGATCATCGGTATGCTACCTTACTGCCAACTGCGCAGTTTTGATAAGCTCAAGGAAAAGATGCACTTTCTTACTTTAGTTTTCACTGTGTAGTACACTGAACCAAACCCTTTGTTGATCGTGCATCAAGGTTGTACAACACACTGTCATTATTGGTTGGCCTGGTTGAAATCGACCTGCCTTGTTGTTTCCAAGCAGAGAAAGAAAGGAGTGAAAACAGAGAGAAAAAGCAAAGAACCGATTAGAAGGAAGACAACTAGACAGAAGAGAAGAGGCAAGAACGACGAGAAGGAAATGATTTCATGGAATTGAACAAAGACGAATCAAAACCAAACAAATCTAGGAGAGAGGACAAATGAAAATTTAATCGAAAACGTCAATACAAAGGAGGAAGAAGAGAAGAACGATGATGAGGAGGTGTGAGCTGAGATGAAGGCCTTTGAAGGAGAGAGCCAAAGAGCAGAATATGAATGCAAGTCAAAACGAGACAGAAATAAAACAACGACGAGGGATTGAAGCCATCCAGGAGCAGTAGCAGCAGGAATGGTGGCGGGAGCAGCAATTCAACCTTTCTGATCACATCCCCATTTTGGCCTTCCCAATGCGACCGATCTCACACACAATTATGATCCACACCGCACTTGTTGATGATGTCACAGACATGAAAATTATCATGACAGGCATGATTATGATCATCGTGATCATGATTATGATGATCGTGATCATGATGAACTTTATAACAGCGATGATAAACAGAAAAGAAAAAATGAAGATCATGAAGATGACAAAGATGATGATGATGATGATGATGAGCAAGAGAATAATTGTGGTGTGGTGACGATGATGATGAACCATGAAAAAGCAAAGCTAGCAAGTGATGACGTGACGCTGGAACTAGTAACGCTGGGAGTCATAATTGAAGATATTGTCGAGATGTTGATAGAAATGGAAACAAATGAGCCTGGAAGTGATTTTGATAATATCCGTACAATCTTCAAGATGTCATCAAGATTTTGATAGACATGATGATGATGGAGGTTGAGATGATGAAGAAGAACGAGAGATTAGATGATGATGACGACAAACATGATGATTACGATTGAGAAAGATCATCAAAATGGGAAGGTGAATCAGGGGAGCGACTGTTTGAGCTAGAAGAAGACGACAGAAGACTGGGATGGGCAGTTTAAAAGTATGGTCGTAGGTGAGGAGCTAAAGATGCACGTGCGATCTGATTGCAGCCAGGATGAGGTAGTCCAACCTACAATCAGCAGCTCCTTTTCACGGATCTCCTCGTAATTTCAGAGGGCTGTGGGACGCTTGTGTCCGTGACCAACCTCACGTTTCGGTAAAACGACTGGACGTTTGTCTTCGGATCTTACCTTGTGCTACTGGCTGTCTTTACCTGAGCATGCTCGCTGACATTTCTCGGGGAGAGCTCGCCAATCAAATCTGTGGATTCAGCCCTAGCACGTTCACTGCTAGGAGCGGGAAGGAGGGGAACGATTCTTCAAAAATAGCAAGCGGGTCATGTGACAACCACCCTGCACGTCCCAGACGAGGTCCTTCTGAATACTGTTACATCGAGCAAGATCGTTTGATCGACTGAAGCGAAAGAGCGAGAATCGACAGTTTGGAAACACGCTTTTCATTGAAACAATTCAGATTCATTTGATTGAGTCTGATTATCCTACTTCGTCTTGCTCTACACGCCCTCCTCCTCTAGTCCCATCCCCATGTACCACTCGATCCATCCCACTTCCGCCCCCTCCCACCGATCCTCAGACTCTGCCTTCTCCTCCTCCTCTTCCATCATCGCCATATCCATCCCAAACGCTGGCAGGCTGGGAGGACCTGGCACCAATGGCGCGCTGGCCGCGCTGACAGCGACGGGCTCGGTCTCCCTCCTCCTCCTCGCGTACGGCCATCGCCCTAGCCCCAGTGCCCGGCAAGCGTTCTTGAGCGCCGACAGCGAGATCCCCTGCGCTCGATCGTCACATGGAGGTGTATAGGAGGGAGGAAGGAGGGGGAGGTGGCTTACCAGGTGACGGGCAGCGTGAGCTTGGGAGAGGTGGGTGAGGGAGCGGAGGAGGTCGAGGGTGAGTCTGCGGTAGAGGGGGGAGGAGGCAGCGTAAGGAGAGTCGGGGGAGGGCTTTCGTCTGGGGTAGACGATACGGACGGCTTGGGAGGGAAGGGGAGCGGTGAAAGGAGGAGGAGGAGGAGGAGGAGGAGGAGGAGGAGGATAGGTTGGTGGTAGCGGACAAGTCTCAGGCAGAAAGGGAGAGAAGGCAGAAGGATGAGGAGTAAGGGAAAGGAGGGAGGCGGGTGCAGACATGGACGAGGGTACAGCAGAAGACGGAGGACAGTATGATCTAAAAATCTACCCGAAATATCCTGGATACGGTCACGGACGTTGAAGCTATTTACCACTCAACTTCTACTGTAAAGTAAAGAAGTCGCAGTACTGTGACGATGGCAGGAAATGTACCGTAAAACACTTTTATAATAATGTCAACTGCACGCGCACAAGATGAATAAAGGAATGACCGTCCTTTACTCAAAGTCAAGTTAAAGATTAGTACGAGGACATGACCAGTACATCTCACGGCCGGGTGAAGAGTTTTTATGAGTCGGAGTTCCGGCGGCAACAAACGCTTCACTGATCGCTCACACGTGCGCGCAGTTCGTGGGAGGGGGAAGGGGGGGGGAAGGGGGCGGAGATTCTTCACAAGGTCCCTGCCTCGCGATTCTACATGTGAAGTTATGTTTGACATGTCCACGTTCTCGTCGCTGTGGGATGAGGTCGAGTCCGAGCTCATCAAGCTCCGCGTCAGGGTTGAGATGCACAGGGATCAGGATGAGAGGGATAGAACCAAGATCAATGAGGACTTGCTATACCTGATGTACAAGTGCAAGGGAAAGTTGCAGATTGCCTGTGCAATGATCAATCAGGAGCAGGTGCTCGCCGCCATGCACTTTCAGAAGATGATCATGATGGTACTCAAGAGCATCTGGAATGCCAGGAGGAGTAAGAGGCTGCTGAACAAACAGGGCGAGCAGATGCACCTGTATGAATATATCAAGACATTCCAGATGGTGTCATATCGTAACTATGAGGGTGAGCTTAGCATGATGATCCAGCAGGGCATCGATGCTGTCGTCCATACCGCGATATCAGAGGATACCCCTGGAATCACAGTGCGGTTGAGCCAGGTCCGTGAAAGCAACCTCAAGGCAGAGGTGGAGCAGTTGCTGCAACACCAAAGAGAGCTCGAGCAATGTATCAAGACATCGTTCTGCTCCATAGGTGTCTCGATCTACATCGACGTTCAACGCCTGCGCACGATTCAGTCGAGGGTTGCCATGTCTAAGACCCGCATCGGGGGTCGAACAATCTCCAGGACTCGCTTGTCCTCGCTACCAGCATGGAGTTTATCCCTCCAGGCTGCTATGCCTTCAACGTGACCTTTGATTGCCATCCCGTCAGGACGGGTACAATGTGTGCGCTGCTCGACGATGCGGAACGTGAGGTGGTAGCGGTCGTACACTGCTTGTCCTGTATCGAGGATAACTATGGGATTAGCAGCGATGTGCTGTTGTGGATTGCAAAGTGTGTCTTGACGGAGGAAAGAGACAAGAGTGAGTTATTGAGCCACAGAGAGCATTGGGATATCACTACTCGCTCTGTGCGTTAGCTTGTAAACCATTCAATGCAAAGGTTTACATCAATTACTTCTCATCCCACCTCGACATCGTCTACAAACCCTCGACCTGTGACTTTGCAGCCCTGGGGGCAGAGGAAGAGAACCGGGGAGCTGTCCGGGTGGGAGATGAGAGCTGGGGACAGGCTTTCTTGCAAGGTACAGTTGAGGCCATGCTCTGCGTACATCCAGTCAAAGGTGTAGGTCCGGAGCCAGTGCACGACTCTCAGGCACTTGTAGCAGTCAGGACGAGCTGAGAGGAGGACGAGGGCAGTTGTAGCAGATGAAGTGAGTCAGAGTGAGCTAAAGGAGTTTCAGCGTCAGTGAAACTTCAATCTCGGCGTACCGACAGACCCGGACATCTCAGATACTTGAACGGTATCTCGCTCAAGGCACGCGTCATCAGCGCTCGCTGCTTTCCTCGCCTTCCATGCGCAGCCAGCGTGGTGTTTGAGAGCAGTTCACGTCAAGCGGACTGAGAGACCCCTATCATGTAGTGCTCTATCTCCTCTCCACGACGCCTTACTCACAGCATGGTCAATCTCTGTGTTGTGCACACAACATGAATCATGGGATCTGATTGCTCTCCTACTCTCTTTCAAGACTCTCTTGGATGAGCCAGGCGAGTAGTGAGCTGCTCTGATATGAGATGTCCGCTAACGTGATCGCTCTGCAAGCTCAAGCATAACCGACGAGCTTGCTCGATCCCATCCTCCCTCCCCTGGCTGGCAAAGTTGCCTACATCATGCTTCTTCCTCGTTGTCTCCCTAGTTCCTCACTTGACCGTTGCCTCCCTCACAGCCATGAGCTTCCTCCTCACGAGCGATCAAACAACAACCATCAACACTCGTCGGTCATGGCAAGAAGCTTTCATTGAGCAATCAACCGTCCGTTCCTTGTTACCCTCTACTGGCTCCACACGCCCTGCGGCGCGTCGCCCTCCTCCTCCTCGTGTACGGCCCCAATCTTCCCCTGGGGAGGTGGCTTACCAGGTGACGCGCAGCGTGAGCTTGGGAGAGGTGGGTGAAGGAGCGGAGGAGGTCGAGGGTGAGTCTGCAGAAAGAAGTGTCGCATCGCTGAAGATGATGACGGCGGGTGCTCTGACATCACCCTGGTCCCTTCATCTCTGATACCAGCCAGATCCCGTGCCAGCAGCTCTACGCTCGGGTCGCGCACGTCTCTTGCTCTTGTCTTCATTCACATTCCCTACACCTACTCGTACATACATGCCTACATCCTATCTACATGCTCCTCGCGGAGCTGAGCCTTGGGCCCTCACTCATGCGAGCGTGATCTTGCTGCCTTGCTCGATCGCCCCGGAGCCTGCCGCCTTGCTCCTGGCGGCCATGACGCTCCCCAGCAGAAGCGCTGGCGTGGCAGCGGCCTTTCTTGCCGTGGTCGCGATGTCGTCTGGGCTGGGAGACGTGGAGGGGAAGGCGAGGGGGCTCCGCTTGACGGACCATGCAGAGACATGGGCGATCTTGATGGTAGAGCGGGGGGCGGGGAGGGGAGACATGGCTGCGCGAGCGAGGGGAGGGGAGGGAGCGTGAGGGGAGGTGTTAGGAAAACTTCCTACAAGTATCTCTCGATCCAGTGTTGACACACGAAGTGATCCCGTCAAGAAACCAAAGAACAAGCGCGCGACAGCAATGCACAATTCAACGGCAATTTACTCCAAATCAACGTTAGAGATAAAGAAAAGTAAGTAATCTAATTTCCTAAGAAACGAGACTGCCTAGGACACCTACTTAAGAAAGACAGGAAGTCAGTAAACATATCCTATCATTTCGCTCCCTAGCGCTGATAGATGAGAACACACTTCTCAGCTCCAACTTCGCTGCAAACACCAAGAATCATTTAGCATTCACAAGATTGAAATCACGAATCATTTTCCTCAACTCTGGAGTGCGAAATTCACGCGTAGACAACCAAGAATCATCCTGTTGGAAAACTGATCGAGAAACACCAAGACACTGTCGTTTCCCCGCTTCGAGGTGGGCAGCGCTGTACGGTTCTCAGAACTTTTTCCAATACTCATAACTCTC